TATTTACATAATTGAATATTTATAATCATAAAACATTTATTTTATAGTTAATAATATACATATAGAAAGTCATCATTCAACCAAAATTTTGAATATATATGTGTTTTTTTGGCAGAGAGCTCTGAAGCAATTGTGTATGTGTGTGTGTATATGTGTGTGTGTGTGTATATATATGTATATATATTTTTAACCTGAGATAGGGTCTCTGTCACACGGGCTGGAGTGCAGTGGCATCATCTCAGCTCACTGCAGCTTCCTGGGTTCAAGTGATTCTCATGTCTCGACCTCCTGCGTAGCTGGTAATACAGGCAATTGCCACCATCCCCAGCTAATTGTTGTATTTTTAGTAGAGACAGGGTTTCACCGTGTTGGCCAGGCTGGTCTTGAACTCCTGGCTTCAAATGATCCACCTGCCTCAGCCTCCCAAAGTGCTGGAATTACAGGCATGAGCCATCATGCCTGGCCAGCAATTGAATATATTTTTTAAAAGTCCCTGTGACTTCCAAAAGATCGACTGATTCTTCATTCTGCAGAAGACAGTGTTCTTTGCTTGTGAGTTTTCTTTTTCCCAGCAAGTCATCATCATTGGCCAAGGAGTATCATGACTAGAGAGTGATAACACTTTGAGCTCATTCTTGTTGGCATTAATTTAAAAAAACAAAAAGTGATAGCATGAGAATTGCTTTCTAAATTATCAGTTTAATTTATAAAAGTTTATCTGGAGGCTGGGTGTGGTGGCTCAGGCCTGTAATCCCAGCACTTTGGGAGGCTGAAGCAGGTGGATCACGAGGTCAGGAGTTCAAGGCCAGCCTGGCCAACATGGTGAAACCCCGTCTCTACTAAAAGTACAAAAATTAGCCAGGCATCGTGGTGGGCACCTGTTATCCCAGCTACTCAGGAGGCTGAGGCAGAGAATTGCTTGAACCCAGGAGGTGGAGGCTGCAGTGAGCTGAGATTACACCATTGCACTCCCAGCCATCTGGGCGACAGAGCAAGACTCCGTCTCAAAAAAAAAAAAAAAGAGAGAGAGAAAGAAAGAAAAGAAAAGTTTATCTGAAAGTCTTCAACCAAGATTGGCCATAGCTGGGTTTCTGGCTATCACCCACAGCTAACATGAGTGTTAGAAAAGGTAGCAGCAATTAGCAGCATTCACTTCCTCCCCTCATCCCGGACCTCCTGGCCCGCATTTATCTCACCCACATCCTGAACAGGAGCAAATAGGAAAGAGCCCTGGTCCATCTTGTGCCACTGTTTGTCTCTGGTAGAGAGGCTGGGAGTGCTTCTGCCACTGCTGGGTCTGAGTTCACTGGATGGCATGCAGGAGAGGTGGGAAAGGAATCAAGATGACAGAACTGACTACCCAGGATCCTGAAAGAGCTGTGACTTGTTTCCAGTGAGTCATCCCAGGCTTGAGCCAGATAGCGCTGAAACCTCATTTCCCACCCACAAAGCACCAGGGTACCTAACATGAGAGTCACTCTGCTTCCACCATAACTCCCATCTGGTTTCCACATCCAACTAACTGGAAGTCAGGAATCATTTTTGTTTTTCTTTTTTTTTTGAGGCAGAGTCTCACTCTTTCACCCAGGCTGGAGTACAGTGGCACCATCTTAACTCACTAAAACCTCCACCTCCTGAGTTCAAGTGATTCTCCCACCTCAGCTCCTGAGTAGCTGGGATTGCAGGTGTTTTGTCACCATGCCCAGCTAACGTCTTTATATTTTTAGTAGAGATGGGGGTTTCACCGTGGTGGCCAGGCTGCTCTCAAACTCCTGGCCTCAAGTGATCCACTTACCTGGCCTCCCGATGTGCTGGGATTATAGATGTGAGCCATCGCCCCAGCCAAGAATCATTTTTCATAAATACTAAAAGTACCATTCAATTTGTGTATACCAACTAACAAGGCTGCATTACTCAAGGATTTTTAAACTCATTTTAGCCTGATTAACTTGGCTCCTATAAGTAGGAGCTGTTGGAGAGGTTCTGCCTGGCCTTTTAAGAATAAAAGGGGAAAGTGAGTAGTTTCAGGTTGTGCTATAAAGAGGAAAGAAAGAATGAACTCTCTGTGGCATATGGGACATAAGTATAAACATTAAGTCAGTCACAATAGAGATTTCCTACTTTTTCTAGTCTGGAGTCAGCCTATCAGGATTGTAATTCTAGCTCCACCAGTTTATAAATGTGCGATCTCTGCCAAGTGGTTTCACCTCCCTAGGCCTCAGTTTTCTGCCCTGAGTGAAAGAAAAGAGGATAGCAAAGTGCCCACCTCATAGGATGCCTTGTTACGGAAAGTAAATGAGATGATCCTGTGGAAGGCACTTAAAACACCATCTGGCACATTATTTAATGGTTGGTGCCGGCCGGGTGTGGTGGCTCATGCCTATAATCCCAGCACTTTGGGAGGCCGAGGCAGGTGGATCACGAGGTCAAGAAATCGAGATTATCTTGGTTAACATAGTGAAACCCCGTCTCTACTAAAAATACAAAAATTAGCTGGGCATGGTGGCGCATGCCTGTAGTCCCAGCTACTCGGGAGGCTGAGGCAGGAGAATTGCTTGAACCCAGGAGGCGGAGGTTGCGGTGAGCCGAGATCATGTCACTGCACTCCAGCCTGGGTAACGAGAGCAAAACTCCATCTCAAAAAAAAAAAAAAAAAAAAGATGGCACCACCCTGATTCCAGCTGCTGCCAGAAGCCACTTGTAGTCGAGCTTGAAGTGGAGGCTGTCTCAAGACTCTGAACTGTGATTTAGGGGGAGATACTCACACTTGCACTAGAGAGGGCCTGGCGCTGGAAGAACACAGCTTGCTTGCTTGCCTGACTTCCTGCTTCCTTCCTTCCTTCCTTCTTCCTTCCTTCCTTCCTTTCTTTCTTTTTTTGAGATGGAGTCTTGCTCTGTTGCCCAGGCTGGAGTGCAGTGGCGCAATCTCAGCTCACGGCAACCTCTGCCTCCCAGGTTCGAGCAATTCTTCTATCTCAGCCTCCTGAGTAGCTGGAATTACAAGCACCTGCCACCATGCCCAGCAAATTTTTGTATTTTAAGTTAACATGGGATTTCTCCATGTTGGCCAGGCTCTTCTTAAACTCCTGTCCTCAGGTGATCCTCCTGCCTGAGCCTTACAAAGTGCTAGGATTACAGGTGTGAGCCACCGCGCCCGGTCAGAACACCACTTTCTTCAAAGAACCTTGGGTTGAATCAAACTCCCTGCTGCCCTCAAACTAGAGTTCTCCTGCCATCTAGTGCCCAATGGCAGAAAATGCCTAAATTCCAACCACGGGGCCCCATTCCTTTGTTCCAACCCCACCCCCACCTTGCGCTCGGGTCCCAGACATGGCTTTCTCTACAGCCCCATATGCCAAGCACCCACTCATCTCAATTCAATTCAAAGCCTCAATTCAAGCCTTAACTCCTCTAAGAAAGCTTTCCTGAGGAACCCGGATGGCTCACCCGCTTCTTGTCAGCCAGGACCATCTCCTCCAGCACACCTCTTTCAACACTGCCATGTATCTGTACCCTTATCCTTCTCCACCGAGTGTGTGTTTCCCTTCTCCACTGACGCTCCCCTCTGGACCCGCACTCCTAGCTTCTGTATTCGATAAATGAATGCACAGGACAGTACAGTTATGGGTGGGACATTCCAAATAAAACTGCTCCATGAATTCAGAAACAGTTTCACGTTGCTGGCATATAAGTGCTTCATTGATAACTGAATATCTGTAGCCTCCACTTTGTCTCTGAGGTTTATTTTTTATTAGAAATAAATGCATAGGCAGGGTGGGGTGGCTCATGCCTGTGATCCCAGCGCTCTGGGAGGCTGAGGCTGGTGGATCACCTGAGGTCGGGAGTTTGAGAACAGCCTGACCAACATGGAGAAACTGAAAATACAAAATTAGCCGGTCGTGGTGGCGCATGCCTGTAATCCCAGCTACTTGAGAGGTTGAGGCAGGAGAATCACTTGAACCCGGGAGCCACAGGTTGCGGTGAGCCAAGATCAGGCCATTGCACTCCAGCCTAGGCAACAAGAGCGAAACTCTGTCTCAAAAAAAAAAAAAAAGAAATGCATAAACAAACATCTACACTGTGATCCAACAATTTCATTTCTAGATATTTACCCAAAAGAAAATAAAATCTGTACTCGGGGGGTGGTACATACCTGTAATCCCTTTGATAGGCAGAGGTAGGAGGAAAGCTTGCAACATCTACCTGTACCGTTCAAGCAATTCTCCTGCCCCTGCCTCCTAAGTAGCTGGGACTGCAGGCATGTGCCACGATGCCCGGTTAATTTTTGTATTTTTAGTAGAGCCAGGGTTTCGTCATGTTGGCCAGGCTGGTCTCGAACTCCTGAGCCCAGGTGATCCACCTGCCTTCGCCTCCCAAAATTCTGGGATTACAGGCGTGAGCCGCCATGCTGGCCGACAGGGTTTGTTAAAACTCATCAAGCTGCACGCCTAAAATCTGGGCATTTATCTGTATGGTTTTTTTTTGTTTTTTTTTTGTTTTTTTTTTTTTTTGACAGAGTGTCATTCTGTTGCCCAGGCTGGAGTAAAGTGGCACAATCTCGGCTCATTGCAACCTCTGCCTCCCTCCCGGGTTCAAGCGATTGTCCTGCCGCAGCCTCCTGTAGCTGTGATTACAGGCGCGCGCCGGCACGCCGCCCGGCTAATTTTTGTATTTTTAGTAGAGACGGGGTTTCACCATGTTAGTCAGGCTGGTGTCGAACTCCTGACCTAGTGATCCGCCCACCTCGGCCTCCCAAAGTGCTGGGATTACAGGCGTGAGCCGCTGCCCCCGGCCTGTAAATTACATTAAATATTTTTAAGGAATGAAAGGGGAGGGATCAAGGGAGGCGAGGAGGAAAGACAGGCTGCAGCCGCAAGAGGTGTTCCCGCGATCGCTTCCCAGGGGGGGAGGAGGGCGGTGGGCTCGAGGACGCCGGCGTACAGTGGCTCCGCTCGGCCGCCAGGGGGCGGTGTGGGCCCGGGAAGGGCGGGCGGCGAAGGGGGGTGAGGAGGCGGGCCCGTGAGCCGATTCCATGTGGGCGCCGGCGCGGCGCGGCGCGGGGCAGCGCGGGGTCGCCATGGCGGAGCTGCAGCAGCTGCGGGTGCAGGAGGCGGTGGACTCCATGGTGAAGAGTCTGGAGAAAGAGAACATCCGGAAGATGCAGGTAGCTGAGCAGGGGCCGAGCCGGGACCCCCTTCTCAGCGGGTGGGTTCCGTGCCCCTCCCTCAGCCACCACGCGACGCCTGGCGCCGCAACCCGCGTCCCTGCACACAGGGCGTGCGCGGTCCTGGGCTCGCCGCGGCGGCCTCTGACAGGACTACGGAAGCTTTGGCGGATCGGATGAAATCTGTGCGCCCTCGCCATGCGCGAGGCGGTTTTCCGCCCCTTCCGGCCCCAGGCAGGCGCGTCCCCGGCGGCAGGTGGGAAGCCCCTAGTGGCAGGCGCTCGCCCCGCCACCTTCCCCTCTTGCGCCGCCCCTTCCGCAGGTGAGCCGCCCGAGGCCCAGCAGCGGCGCGGCCAAGGTGAAAGACCAGAAAGGCGAGGGCTCCCGGCCTCCCCAATGGCCAGATCATGTCCGCTTCACAGTGTAGAAACAGCACAGGTTTCCACACTGTTGTGCTCTGAGCCCCGCAGTGCCTCTGTGCGTGTGGGTCCCGCTTCCCTCACAGAGTGTAGTGCCCCTTGGGTCATTGATTAGTGGATCGGCTGTCCTCTGGTGGAATGTGGATTACTAGGTTGCTGACCTCTGAACCCTGTGCAAGAGGCACCTGGTTTTCAGAACTTGGCTTCATCCACCCCACCCTCACCCATCCTGACGAACCCCTGTTCGCCTGACCATCGGTGCAACAGGTGCCAATGAGCTAGCAGCAAGGAGACCATGAAACACTACACTAGACATTGAGGATAATTTTCCCCAGTGGTGGTTTTAAGGTCCTGCAGTCTATTCTCAGGGAAGGTAAAAGCAGAAGATGGAGAGGGAGGTGCAAATATACACATGGCCTTCTAACTTCTGTAGTGCTCCATAGTCATTTCTGTCCCCAAGAGGCTCTCCTGTCTCACCTCACCCTGCCCTTTCTCCCCAGGGTCTCATGTTCCGGTGCAGCGCCAGCTGTTGTGAGGACAGCCAGGCCTCCATGCAGCAGGTGCACCAGTGCATCGAGCGCTGTCATGCGCCTCTGGCTCAAGCCCAGGCTTTAATCACCAGTGAGTTGGAGAAGTTCCAGGTGAGAAATATCCTAGACAGAGCACTCTAGTCCTTGATCTAGACTTTTGCAGGTGATGACAAGCATTTGTTCAAAACTCTTGGCTTTAGTGTCTTGGTTCTGTTAACAGTGGTGATGGTGATGGCCAATCAGTTTTCACAGGGTTTGAAATTTTGGGAAAAGTCTTGGCAGTCAAGTGCCTTAAGATGAACTATGTTTTCCTATAGAAATGATGTGGTCAGGCACAGTGGCTCACGCCTGTATCCCAGCACTTTGGGAGGCCGACACAGGTGGATAACGAGGTCAGGAGATCGAGACCATCCTGGTTAACACTGTGAAACCCTGTCTCCACTAAAAACACAAAGCATTAGCCGGACATGGTGGCATGCACTTGTAGTCCCAGCTACTCAGGAGGCTGAGGCAGGAGAATCCCTTCAACCCAGGAGGCAGAGGTTGCAGTGAGCTGAGATCATGCCACTGCACTCCAGCCTGGGCAACAGAATGAGACTCTGTCTGAAGAAAAAAAAAGAAATGATATCAAAAGGAGTTACCAGGGGAGTTCATGACCAACAGCCCAAAGGCAGTTTGTTGGAGACAGGGAGTTTGTTTCTTTTCCCATAACTACCAAATACAGTATGTATACTGTGAAGTATAAAGTTTCCTAAAACATATATTATTTTATTTTTACAACAGCAGAATCTCTAGGAAAGTAGGATATCCTTGAAAAGGTACAGATTAGAGAAACACCCTTCCACCATTTTGTGGCCTTATAAACTCACCCAGGACTGCCCCTACTTGCTATACCCAGTTGGCAGCTTCTCTGTCAGTAAGGAGCAGCCATTTATGTGAATCATTATCACTGTTGACTCACAGATTCCTGGCTCACAAGCCCCTCTGAGGTTAATAAAAGAGCTCCCTCTTTCCTTCTCTGGAGCAAAGAGTATCTACAACTTCATTTTACTCCCATCTTCTAAGTATATGTTTCTGGAACCTGGGGCAAGCAAGCCCACTTCCCTTTTTTTTTTTTTTTTTTTTAAGATGGGGTTTCACCATGTTGGTCAGGCTGGTCTTGAACTCCCGACCTCAGGTGATCCGCCCATCTTGGCCTCCAAAGTGCTTGGATTGCTGGCTTGAGCCACCACGCCCAGCCTCAAGCCCACTTCCAAACCAGCCTTTCATAGCCTGAGGTTCCATCCACATGGAAAAATTATACCTAATGTGATACATCTTTACTTTCTTCCATTCAAAACTCTTCAAAGTTCTGCCATTATGGAGAAATAACTTCTCCAAGATCATGGAACCGCAAAGGGTTTCTTTGTGTTCTTTTTGACAGCTAATTTTATAGATAGAGTCTTTGATAATTTGATTCTTGGACTGCTCTATAACCCTCTCCATGATCTTTTTAGTGGACTTTCTTCACTGGCCAGAACTGCTCCTGCCACTCATCTCCATGGGGCCGAATCCGGGGGTCATTTCTGAGTCTTCATCTTACTCTGTCTACATCATTGACACAGTGGATCCCTCGCCTTAAAGCACTTTATTCAGTTGGTCACCAAGACATGTCACCCTCCTGGCATCCTGTTGGCCACCCTTTCTTGGCCTCCTTTGCTGTCTCTTCCCCTCTCCAGCCTCTAAGCATCAGATTGCCCAGAGCTGTCTGGTTCTTTTCTCCTTTCTGACTACTTCTCTAGTCTCTAGCCTCATAGCTATAAATATAATCTGTATGCTGACAGCTCCTGCCTTTATTTATGAATGAGAAGGAGTCTCGCTTTGTAGCCCAGGCTGGAGTGTAGTGGCACAATCTCAGCTCACTGCAACCTCTGCCTCCCAGGTCCCAGTTCATGCAATTCTCCTGCCTCAGCCTCCTAAGTAGCTGGGATTACAGGCGCCCACCTCCACGCACAGTTAATTTTTGTATTTTTAGTAGAGACGGGGTTTCACCATGTTGGCCAGGCTGATCTTGAACTCCTGACCTCGTGATCCACCCACCTCGGCCTCCTAAAGTGCTGGGATCACAGGCGTGAGCCACTGTGCCTAGCCAGCTCCTGCATTTGTATCTGTATAGCAGACCTTACTCATAAACTCCAGATTCATATACCCAACTAATTCCTCAACATCTCCATTTACTTTGTCTCTTTCCTCTCACTGGAATGTAAGTTCTGTAAGGGTAAGAACTTTGTTTTACCCATTGCTATATTCCCTAACATTTTTTAAAAAGTGCCTGGCACATAGTATACGCTCAATAATATTTGTTGAATTGAACGTTTTCCCGTAGAAAGAACAGACTTTAAAGAATCAAGATGTTTGTAAGTCTTACAGTAACCTCTAGGGACCTCCCACTTCCTGGAAGAACTTTCTGTATAATTTATTCTGTCATTCACCTGCTTTCTAGTAACAGTTTGGGCCCTCCTGGTGCCACTTTTCGTTTGAGTCAAGACAGTCTTGGCAGGCCAAACACAGTGGCTCACGCCTATAATCCCAACACTTTGGGAGGCTGAGGAGGGAGGATCACTTGAGCCTAGGAGTTTGGGACCAACCTGGGCCACATAGGGAGATCTTTTTAAGAAAATATTAGCCAGGAGTGGTGGCATGTGCCTGTGGTCCTAGCTACTTGAGAGCTGAGGTGGGAAGATAGCTTGAGCCTGGGACGTTGAGTCTGCAGTAAACCATAATTGTGCCACTGTAGCACAGCACTGCAGCCTGGGCAACAGAGTGAGATGCTGTCTCAAAAAAAAAAAAAAATCTTGGCCAATCACACTACAGTGTGCCTTTAATTGATCAAGATAATATATATCAAGCCTGTAATGAGCACGTAATGAGCACACAGTAAATGGAGGCCTTATTCTCAGCTTTCTCTACCTTCTTCCTTCTTGCCGCAGGACCGCCTGGCTCGGTGCACCATGCATTGCAATGACAAAGCCAAAGATTCAATAGATGCTGGGAGTAAGGAGCTTCAGGTGAAGCAGCAGCTGGACGGTTGTGTGACCAAGTGTGTGGATGACCACATGCACCTTATCCCAACTATGACCAAGAAGATGAAGGAGGCTCTCTTATCCATGGGGAAATAAAAGTCTTTGCCAATGCCCATCGGGGCTGAGGGCAAGAATATATTTTTTATAAGGAATTGGGAATTTTAGTCTTTTAAGCAAAGTTTATGAATGAAGAAATTAAGGATGGCTGCAAGTGTAAGGCATATGTCAGTTGCCTCTGGACACTGCTTCTTTTATGTTTCAGTCCTAAAAAATGAAATGGAAAAAAGTGGTGCTAAATTGGGTCAAAGACATTACAGGAGAATTTTGGAGCTTGTATTTCCTGTGGCCAGTGCCTGTCCTGGCAGGAAGGATCTTCCCTGTAACAAGCCAGAGCCCTCCAAGGTACCAGACTCTTCTTACTACACAGGTACCAACAGCCTGGCAGGTTAGAGTTGCAGTTTGAGGAGAGATATTTTCTCTTTGTTGCCAACATCCTGTTTACCAGAAGTGTCACCACGCCATTTTCCATAAACTGTGAAACAAAATCCATGAGGTCACTAACTTAGAAGGGAAAAAGTTTTCTGAGTCTTTGTGTTCTTGGTTTTGTGTTATTTATACAAGGGCATTCAAGTTGATTTTAAGATGTGGAATTAGGAGGGAGACTAGTTTGGATAAGAATTTTGAAAGGTTCCTTGTGGATCCCCATTTCTGGTCATCAAGATGTGGATGTACATTTCTTAAAATTATTACATGCTGCATCTTTCAGCCTGGGGACCATGCAAAAACATGAGAGGTGATGACACACTAATTATGAGAAGCATAATTACTCGCTGATGGGCCCTGAGACTGTAGCAAAATGACAATGACAGGAAAATTTTTTTTTTTTTTTTTTTGAGACGGAGTTTCACTCTTGTTACCCAGGCTGGAGTGCAATGGCACGATCTCGGCTCACCGCAAAGTCTGCCTCTCGGATTCAAGCGAATCTCCTGCCTCAGCCTCCCGAGTAGCTGGGATTACAGGCGTGCGCCACCACGCCTGGCTAATTTTGTATTTCTAGTAGAGACAGGGTTTCTCCATGTTGGTCACGCTGGTCTCGAACTCCCAACCTCAGGTGATCCACCCGCCTTGGCCTCCCAAAGTGCTGGGATTATAGGCGTGAGCCACTGCCCCCAGCATGACAGGACAATCTTGCAGGAACACTTTCCCCTTGAAGAGAAAGGGATTTTGATTGTGATCTATACTAGTATCTAGGAATACTACAGGAATGAAAGAGGACCAGTTGGCTACTTGATTATAACAGAGTTATAAAGTACTGGATTTGGAAAAGCCTGGTTTTTACAGAACAGATGGAACGAAAACCTAAACCTGGCATTGCCTACTTAGCCCCCTGAATTAACAGAGCCCAATTGAGACAAACCCCTGGCAACAGGAAATCGAGGGAGAAAAAGTAACCAGCTTGGGCTAGGATGAGCTGACTCCCTTAGAGCAAAAGAGAGGCAGCCCCCATTACCAAATACCACTTTTGCCTCGGGCTTTTGCAACTTGCAGCGTTCCTGCCCCAGCATGACACCTTATTGTTTTGGTAGCAACCTCACTGTATTTTCACCAACTTATTACTTGAAATGATAATGTAGCCTGTCCACTTGCTGTTTCCAGGCTGTGATATATTTTCCTAGTGGTTTGATTTTTAAAATAAATAAGGTTTAATTTTCTCCCCACTATTGTGTTTTATTTCCTTATATCTGGGTAGTGAATATGTTAACTTTCTCAGTATGCTTCTTTTAACCGGTTAAATGAGTTTAGCATGTTCAAAAGAGTGGAAATCAGTTATTTGTTATGGTTCAGATGCAGAACTTGTTCATTGTAAATGTGAAAAACTTTGAGAGCAGGCTAGGTTATTGTGACTTGAAGTTCATTAATGTAGAAAAGAAACTATGAGGCTAAAAAGAGAAATTCATTATGTCAGGTCTCTCGCTTCAACTAAACACTAATAGCAAGTGGTAGGAAAGGTACAAAGCTATGACCCTGCTAGAAACAATCAAGTGTCTAGGATTTTGAGTACTAAGAGAGTGCAAAATATATGATGAGTTTAAGTCTTTACTATCATTGGTATTTAAATAGAGCCATTCCAGAATATCAGGAATGAACTGAATTTTTGAGAACCATCCCCTATTTAAAATCAACAAGGCATTCTATTTTGGTTTAGTCTTTTATGATATGTGGATTCTCCTACTTTAGGATAATGTATCAACTGGGAACAAGTCAGAGACCACTTTTTACACATCTTGACATGAAAAAGAAATACCTTATATTAGAGAATGTTTGTATGCTGCACTTCACAATTTTATATACAGAAGCAACAGCACATCAGCGAGTTTGGAGGCAGTGTTTGAAAAATTGCAGGACTGCCAGGCATGCTGGCTCACGCCTGTAATACCAACACTTTGGGAGCCAGGGTCAGGAGGATCACTTAAGGCCAGGAATTGGAGGACAGCCTGGGCAACAAAGCAAGACCTCGTTTCTACACCCATACACACACACAAATATATATTTATATATGTATGTATGTATATATTAGCTGGGCACAGTGGCATGTGCCTGTAGTCTCAACAGCTCAGGAGGCTGAGGTGGGAGGATCACTTGAGGCCAGGAGTTCGAGGTTACAGTAAGCCATGATCACACCATCCATTCCAGCCTGGGTGACCTCACCTCGAAAAAAAAAAAAAATTATTTGCAAGATCGCCAGTCGGAAACAGGTTGAAATTCTTAGAGACAGGCCTAATCACCTTACCATCCAGTGGTGCAGAGGCCACTAATTTACATTTTACCGGAACCCTAGGCTTGATCTGACAGTATGCTATAAGGATACCTGCCAAAGAAATACAGGGGTCCATTCCTCTACGGCTCGTTATCATTCGGTATATATGAAGAAAATAAGCGATACGATCCACAGACATGCGGGATTGGCCGGGTTTGCCCCGAAGCTAGAGACGGGACCTTTATCCCAATTTTATTTTTTAAATAGAGAAGGTTGGGGGCGTGTCTCACTATGTTGCTCAGGCTGGTCTCGAACTCCTGGGCTCAAGCGAGCCTCCCAAAGTTCTGGAATTTACGGCACCCGGAGGGTTTTTTTTTGTTGTTGTTTGTTTTGGTTTGGTTTGGTTTTTTTTGCGGGGGGAGTGGTTTCCATAGGCAGAGTACTCGTTTTCTGAATTTTGCACAAAGAAAACGGAATTTAGCAAGATGCCTAGAGAACGCACCCCTCCGTCCGGGCCAATCGCTGACAGCGCAATCGGAAGCTCAACGGTGTCCGAGACTCTCGGGTATCGCGAGGTGAAGTGTAAAAACTGCCGACAATCGATTGGCTAACGAGGTCGGTGACGCTCGACGCAAGACGCCGGGCCTACTGCGGGAGCGTAGAGTAGGCCGTGCATTCCGTTCCAAGGCCTCTGTGTGCCTGCGGAGTAGCCATCATGAGCAAAGCTCACCCTCCCGAGTTGAAAAAGTAAGTATGTATGAGAACCAAACCGAAACGGTCGCTTCTGTGAGTCCCCCGAGTCCCTTTGTTCCCTCCCCATTCGCCGAATGGCTTGAGCCACCACCTCATTTCTTCTTCGGGTCCGAGGTCGCCGGGATCTCGGCCAGGCTCCCGCGCTTGGGACGTGAAGCCCGCGCAGAGCTAGCGCGTCGGCGTGGTTACCGCCGGCAGCCACTGCACCTCCTTCCGGCCGACCCGCCTCCCGGTGCTGTGGTCGGGTCCCTGGTCACCCCGCGCTCTCCGTCCCTCGTTCCTTGAAGATCTTGAATGCCACCTTTTGTTGAACATCTCGAATAGCATCATGTTCTAGATAGATGGCTAGAGGGGGTAATTCTGTAGAGGAACCTAAGAGGGACTGGAATGGAAGTGTTTTTAAAGACTCCGTGAGGCATCAGACTCCAAAAGCCACTTTAACTTTAGAGAATGTGTTTGTAGCTATTTCTTTGAGCTTTTACTTAGAAACCTCATTCCTTTTTCTTGCCTTTTACGTTAAGTTTGAATGTCGTGTGTTATCTTGCTGTGATGTTAAAACTATGTAAGAATATTCATTTTTTTTTATAACATTAACTTTTTTCTAATCAGAGAAGGCTAGTGTTTTGAAGTTTTTTTCTACACACCCAGTAAAATCAAACAACTTTAGGTAGGAGAGCCTTACTTCAGGTAGGACTCAATGTAAAGCTTTAAACTCTTCAAATACTTCTTGACTGGACTTAACATGTTCTGCGTTTCCTGAGTACGTTTCTGTTTTGTTTATACTCCTTGATGCTGGAATTCCACATGTAGCTGAATTGCGCCAAGGGTGCAGAATTGTTACAGGGATCAGTTTTCTCTGGCATAGCGTGCGGCTGGCTTTGTGTATAGTTCCTTTATTACCAGGCCCACAGAAGTTAGACATAAGGAAAAATTCCTATTTGATAATTTTGCGGCCGGGCGCAGTGGTTCACGCCTGTAATCCCAGCACTTTGAGAGACCGAGGGGGGTGGATCACCTGAGGTCAGGAGTTTGAGACCAGCCTGGCCAACGTCGTGAAACCCCGTCTCTACTAAAAATACAAAAAATTAGCCAGGTGTGACGGATGGGGCCTGTAATCCCAACTACTTAGGAAGCTGAGGCAGGAGAATTGCTAGAATCCGAGAGGCGGAGGTTGCAGTTGCAGTGAGCCGAGATTGTGCCATTGCACACCAGCCTGGACAACAAGAGCAACTCTTTTTCAAAAAATAATAATAATATTTTTGCTTTTAAAGGTGCATTTGTATCAAAGCCATCTTTGTGTGAAAACTCCTTGCGTTTAAATTTTAGTTAGGTCTGTTAAGGAATTAATTATTAAAGCATAAGCCCAACATAAGAAAAATCGAACTTACTTAGAAATTATTGTTGTGAAAATGTTTATCTGAAAATTAATTCTATTTTGGTGAGGTGGTAACGTAGTATCCTCTGGATTCATCAGAGTGCTGAAAATTTTTTTTTTTAAACAAAAGTACCATTCTCTACTTGTAATCTAAGATTTTCTTTCTGATTGATAACATAGTTTTTGAAAATTTCAGAGAAGGAAGCTAGTGTTAATACCTTTCTCTTCTCATCCATAGGTTTCATGAATTGTGCAGTCCCGTCAAATCTGCTGCCAAAATGACTTTTCTTCCTCTACTTTCTCAAAGACAGCAGCAGCATCTTTTACACCTTTATGCCATCCTCCTGGCTTAGTGGTTCTTTTTTTTTTGTTTGTTTGTTTTGTTTTGTTTTGTTTTGAGTCGGAGTTTCGCTCTTGTTGCCCAGGCTGGAGTGCAATGGCGCAATCTCGGCTCACCGCAACCTCCGCTGGGTTCAGGCAATTCTCCTGCCTCAGCCTCCTGAGTAGCTGGGATTACAGGCACGCGCCACCATGCCCAGCTAATTTTTTGTAGTTTTAGTAGAGACGGGGTTTCACCATGTTGACCAGGATGGTCTCGATCTCTTGACCTCGTGATCCACCCGCCTCGGCCTCCCAAAGTGCTGGGATTACAGGAGTGAGCCACCGCGCCCGGCTCAGTGGTTCTTTTTTTGTTTGGTTGGTTGGTTTGGTTTTGGTGTTTGGTGTTTTTTTTTTTTGTTTTTTAGGTGGGGGGATGGAGTCTTGCTGTGTCACCCAGGCTGGAGTACAGTGGCATGATCTCAGTTCACTGCAGTCTCCGCCTCCTAGGATCAATCGATTCTCCTGCCTCAGCCTCCGGAATAGCTGGGATTACAGGCGCCTGCCACCACACCCGGCTAATTTTTGTATTTGTAGTAGAGATGGGATTTCACCATGTTGGTCAGGCTGGTCTTGAACTCCTGACCTTGTGATACCCCCACCTCGGCCTTCCAAAGTGCTGGGGTTACAGGCGTGAGCCATTGCTCCTGGCCACTCTGGTTCTTAAATGAGGGAGTAGGGAATCTGGTGCTACTGACTTCTAGTGAGTAGACACAGGGATGCTGCTAAACTTCCCACCACTTATTGGACTGCCCCCAACAATTCAAAATTATCTAGTCCCAAAAGTCAGTAGTGCAGAAGTTGAGATACCCTGGCTTAACTGAATTCTTCCCTGCCACTTTTTGAAATTTGCTGCCACAGTAGTCTTCCCAGTAACTGCTTTAATAATTTATCACAAAGGCCGGGCGCGGTGGCTCAAGCCTGTAATCCCAGCACTTTGGGAGGCCGAGGCGGGTGGATCACGAGGTCAAGAGATCGAGACCATCCTGGTCAACATGGTGAAACCCCATCTCTACTAAAAATACAAAAAATTAGCTGGGCATGGTGGCGCGTGCCTGTAATCTCAGCTACTCAGGAGGCTGAGGCAGGAGAATTGCCTGAACCCAGGAGGCGGAGGTTGTGGTGAGCCGAGATCGCGCCATTGCACTCCAGCCTGGGTAACAAGAGCGAGACTCCGTCTCAAAAAAAAAAAATAAATAAATAAAAAATAATAATAATAATTTATCACAATATGCAAAATCAAGTCTATATTTAACCCACCCAACATTCAAACGCCAAACCTTACAGCCACAAATAAGTGTTCTGTTCTCCAGTCAATCTCAACAATTTGTATTTGCTCACACTTCCTGTGTGACTTTGAACAATTTACTTAACCTTTCCATACCTAGTTCTCCATCTGTAAAATGGTGGTAATACTAGACCATAATTGCAAAGTCCTTGTAAAGATTGAATAAGATCTTGGGTGTTATATTTGCTATGCTTTTATATATCTTATTGAAATATAGTCTTGTTCATCATACTTCATAAATACATTTTTACTTGTAAATGTCTACTCCCTCCTTCAGCCATGCTCCCTGTTTTATATTTGAATTCTTCCATGATTATTCTGTAAATTAAAATTGAGTAAGTGCCCACTTCACAGCCCATATGCTAAAATTTTTCCCATTTTTTTATATTTTAAAGTTTGAATGAAATTTTTAAAACCGAATGAAATTTCATGTTTTCTGGCCTATAAATGGAAGAGGTTAAAAACTGATTTGACTGCATGGCTTAGTAGTCTCATATTCCACTAAAATTGAATTTTCCTTAATTCATATTGTTTGAAGTTTCAAAATATGCATTTGTTGTACTAAAATATACTTAAATGTTGAGGACTGCCCTGAACATTTATGCTTGATGCTTTCATGTTAAATAAAAGAACACTCCTTTTTATCTCGAATATAAAATACCTATTGAATTGGCTATGGTTTGTTTACTGTTTGCTGTCTTTACAACTTAGTTTTGGAAATAACCAAATGTAAACAAGTCTTTGTTTTTCTGTTATGACTGTAAAACCCAATTATTGAAAATTAGGTTAATGAGACCAGATGAGGTAGCTTATGCCTGTGTAATCTCAGCAGCACTTTGGGAGACTGAGGGGAAGCATATTTTTTGAGGCCAGGAATTCAAGACCAGCCTGATCAACATAATGAGACACTATCTCTTTTAAAAAAAGAAAAGAAAGAAAGAAGTAAAAAAACTTAGGTCAATGAAACAACATAGTATTGAACAATAAGAATGTTTTTGTAATTCACATTAGTATAAAGACTCCACTTAATGTAGATTAACACAGTCTAAATATGTTTCATCTTTATTGTCTTTCCCCTTCCCAAATTACTTTGCTTTGTAGAATGTCTAATTTAGGTAACTTTTTTTTTTTTTTTACCCTGAAACGGGGTTTTGCTCTATTGCCCAGCTGGAATTCAGTGGCTCACTGCAGCCTCAACGTCACAGGTTCCAGTGATCCTCCGACCTCAGCCTCCCACATAGCTGGAACCATAGGCACATGCCACCACTCCCAGTTAATTTTTGTATTTTTGATAGAGGTGGGGTTTCACCATGTTGCTCAGGCTGGTCTCAACTCCTGAGCTCAAGCAGTTCACCCACCTCAGCCCCCTAAAGTGCTGGGATTACAGGCATGAGCTACCTTGCCCTATTCCCTCACTTTTCACAGTAGTACAGTATTTTTACTATTTTAGATGTCATTATTCCTGTTGTATAAATTTTTTATTTTAACTATACCTATTTATGAACTTGTTTATGCTTAAAATTTTTTAATTGGTTATATAATCTTTACCCTTTTGCTTTTTCAGATTTATGGACAAGAAGTTATCATGTAAGTTTGTTGTTTTGGGTTTTTTGCAACTTTATAAAAATTTAAAGCACACAGGACCTCTAATTCATATCGATTAATTAAGCAGATTACTTAATCCTAACTAAACAATTTTATTTACCTAATTTCTGATGTTTAATGAATTTAATAGCACTTCAGACTTTATATTACATAAGCCCTTCCTCACTTTGACAAAATTAACAGGATTTATCAACCTTTTTTCCTTTAAATAAGCTACAAAAGACTTAGATAAGGAAAAATTATTTTGTTTCTTGGGAATATGTAGGAATTTGTTCAGTTTAACTAAAAATCTGACCCACACAGTGCTTGGAGTATATGTAGGGGACAAAACCATGAGCATTAGAGGTAAGCAGGCTTTAGCTTGAATCTCACTTCTACCATACCGTAGCTGTATAACCGTGAATGCAGTTACTTAAAAACTTGGGCACTGTGCCTTACCTCTGTAATTGCAGCACTTTGGGAGGCCAGAGTGGTAGGATCCCTTGAGCTCGAAGAGTTCGAGACCAGCCAGGGCAACATAGAGAGCCTGCCACTCCCCCACCCTCTACGGCTATCTCTGAAAAAATAAAAAAATAAAAGCTGCTAGGCTCATGCCTGTAATCCCGGCGTTTTAGGAGGCCAAGGCGGGTGGATCACCCGAGGTCAGGAATTTGAGGCCAACCTGACCAAGCCCTGCCTCTACTAAAAAATACAAAAATTAGCCGGTCATGGTGGAATGTACCTTTAGTCCCAGCTACTTGGGAGGCTGAGACAGGAATTGCTTGAACCCAGGCGGCGGAGGTCACAGTGGGCCTAGATTGCACCACTGCAGCCTGGCAACAGAGTGACCCTCCATCTCAATAAATAAATAAATAAAAGCTCTAAAGTTTGATTCTATCCTATAAAGTAAGGATAATACTACTTTTTAGGATTCTTATAAATTAAAATGTGGAAGTAAATACAAAAATGTTTAATCCAGTGCTTGGCATACAGTAAGGATAGTGGGTCAAACATCTCAAATACTTGTATTTTGCTAAAACATCTTTTTCCCTTTTTAATAGTGAAATTAAATGGTGGCAGACATGTCCAAGGAATATTGCGGGGATTTGATCCCTTTATGAATCTTGTGATAGATGAATGTGTGGAGATGGCGACTAGCGGACAACAGAACAATATTGGAATGGTGGTAAGTAAAGATACAAGATTTCTCTTGGAGACTTCATTTTCCTTTTGGAATATGTATTAACTTTCCTAGTTAGTAACCCCCAGAAATGACGAATAACAGGCAAGATTAGATTTTCCATCTCCATTTTAGTTGAACATGTGGCAGTTATTCAGCTGTGGTAATATCCTGGTTACCTATAGGTAAGATCTCAACTATACAGAACCTAAGGTCCTAGGGCTTGAAATAGCTGTTGAAAATCCTTCTTGAGCTTTATTCTACAATAGAGCCTCATAGTTGGTCCTTCATTAGACCAATAGTTCTGAAACCTTAACATGTATATGAATCCCCAGGGAATCTTGTTAAAATGCACATTCTACTTCAGTAGGTATGGGTCGGAACTTAATTAAGGTTTTGCATTTCTACTGATGCCTAATGCAGATCTGCCAGTCCACAGATCACACTTTCTGATTTTATTTGTATACACAGTTAACCTGGATTTTCTGGTTTACCACACCCAAAATTTTAAAGTAGCCAAGGTAAGTTATAAGGGATAATCACAATGACATTCACATGAGAAAGGAAAAAACAAAACAGAAAAAAGGCAAATACTGAGCTCTCATAGGATTAAACATTCAACAGTCATTGGGCCGTAGTTTTAGTGATTGCTGAAAAAGGGTTTTTTTTTTTTTTTTTTTTGACAGAGTCTCGCTCTGTTGCCCAGGCTAGAGTGCAGTGGTACAATCTTGGCTCACTGCAACCTCTGCCTCCCAGGTTCAAGCGATTCTCCTGTCTCAGCCTCCTGAGTAGCTGGGACTACAGGAACGTGCCACCATGCCTGGCTAATTTTTTTGTATTTTTAGTAGAGACGGGGTTTCCCCATTTTGCCCAGGCTGGTCTTGAACTCCTAAGCTCAGGCAGTCTGTCTGCCTTGGCCTCCCAAAGTGCTAGGATTACACGTGTTAGCCACCTTGCCCAGCTGAAGAAGAGTTTTGATACTTGTCAGCAAGACCCAGACTTTGAGTCCTTCTTTGTCTAACACAGGACAACATACCTAATAAAGTGGTAAGCCCAAAGTTCTTGAAAAAGGTGAACCAAAAAGGACAACTTACTTTTAGCAAATTATTGAGCATAAAGAGGTCCAAGGGGTGGTAAGAGCTGCTAATTATTAGCCTTGATTTTTTTTTTTTTTTTTCTGTGACAGCCTCGCTCTTGTCGCCCAGGCTGAAGTGCAGTGGCGTGATCTCAGCTCACTGCAACCTCCGCCTCCTGGGTTCAAGTGATTCTCCTGCCTCAGCCTCCCAAGTAGCTGGGATTACAGGTGCCCGCCACTGCACTGGCTAATTTTTAGTAGAGACAGGGTTTTACCATCTTGGCCAGGCTGGTCTCAAACTCCTGACCTCGTGAGCCACCACGCCCATTCTTAACCTTGATTTTTTAAGTTTGAGCAGTAGAGTTGAAGATAGACCTATTTTGACATATCTGCCTGTTTAATTGTTTTACAGTCTGATTTTTTTTTTGAGACAGAGTTTCACTCTTGTTACCCAGGCTGGAGTGCAATGGCGCGATCTCGGCTCACCGCAACCTCCGCCTCCTGGGTTCAGGCAATTCTCCTGCCTCAGCCTCCTGAGTAGCTGGGATTACAGGCGCGCGCCACCATGCCCAGCTAATTTTTTGTATTTTTAGTAGAGACGGGGTTTCACCATGTTCACCAGGATGGTTTCGATCTCTTGACCTCGTGATCCACCCGCCTCGGCCTCCCTAAGTACTGGGATTACAGGCTTGAGCCACCGCGCCCGGCCGCCTGTTTAATTTTTTACAACCATTCTTCCCAAGGTTTGCGTTATTACTTAATTCAGATACTTTTTCATTACTGTATTTTGAAAAGCAAATCGATAGTCATGACTGAAAAAACAATTTAGAGTCTCCAGATACCACACTGTACTCCCAAGTTTCATGTAAGCTTAATTGTCTTTCAGGTATATTCCCTTGTGAGCTTCTGTTGAATAGGCTGCCAGCATCATTAGTAGCCAAGTCCTTATAAAAACACTTTCTAGGTACCCCAAGATTTTCCTCTAAACCTTTATTTTTACAAATAAATCTTCGTTCTGATAGAAGGTAGATTAGGTTTTTAGTCATCCCAAGAAATTTGCTGAAAAGAATTCAGGAAGCATTTGGCACCTAAAAGGCAAGAACACGGCCTGGCGTGGTGGCTCACGCCTGTAATCCCGGTACTCTGGGAGGCCAAGGCAGGTGGATCACCTGAGGTTGAGAGTTCGAGACCAACCTGACCAACATGGAGAAACCCCGTCTCTACTAAAAATAAAAAAATTGGCTGGGCATGGTGGCGAATGCCTGTAATCCCAGCTACTCAGGAGACTGAGGCAGGAGAATCACTTGAACCTGGGAGGTGGAGATCGCATCATTGCACTCCACCCTGGGCAACAAGAACAACACGAGCAACACTGTCTCAAAGGAAAAAAAAAAAAAAAGGCAAGAACAGAGACGAACTTTTTGCTAAAGTTGGAAGAAGGGAAACAAATAGGTTAAGATTTTGTTCATTTTGTTAAAAGTTGTTTGACAAAGGACAATTGGCTTCATTATTACCTTATCCAAGTCAGTGATCCATTGAGGCCATTGAAATTACTGAATACTGTTTTATTGCAGATATGTATGTGTTGACTGGGCACAGTGGCTCACACCTGTAATCCCAGTGCTTTGAGAGGCTGAAGCAGGAGGATCACTTGAGCCCAGGAGTTCGAGATCAGCCTGGGCAACATAGTGAGACCTCATCTCTACAAAAAAATTTAGAAAATTAGCCGGGCATGACGGTGTGCACCTGTAGTCCCAGCTACTCAGGAGACTGAGACAGATCACTTGAACCCAGGAATTCGAAGCTGCAGTAAGCTGAGATCACACCACTGCACTCCAGTCTGTGTGACAAAGCAAGATCCTCACTCAAAAAGAAAGAGGATGTGTGTTTTCAGGAGTTTGTTTTTAACCTGTCCGTTGGATACTTACCTAATCATAAATCTCAGCTGTCTTCTGAGACATCCCTAGAATTTTATTTTATTATATTACATAGTTCAGGCACTCTTGCTAGAGCTGTGCTTCTGTAGCATCACTGAAGCACAGCAAAAGGAGTAGTACGTAATTCTGGACCTGATAGTTCAAGTTTGATTTGGAGAATTAAGCCTCAAACACAGTGGCAAAAGAGGAAGAGCACTATGGTAGTCCTTTATCCTCAGAGTGGGTGCCAGAAACCACAGATAGTACTGAACCGTAAGCACGAATTTCTTTTTACTTCTTCACAATCTCACAGATAGAAGATTCATCCTTACTGTAAATCTTAGCAGTCTCATACTATTTTTTTTCCTTCCTTATTAAATCAAGAACTTGTACCATTTCACTTAAAGGAAACACTTTTCAGCTTCTCTTTGGCCTATCCATATTGCCAGCATCACTGCTGTTATACTTTCAGGCTATTACTAAGTAAACCTTGACTGTTTTCTTGAACACAAGTAACCCTTTGATACCACAACAGTCAATTGGTAAACTGAGATAACTGATGAATGGGCAGCATGGAGATTCTAGACAAAGGGATAATCCATGTTCAGGGACAGTATGAGATATTATCGCACTACTCAGAACATCATGCAATGTAAAACTTAGGGATTGTCTGTTTCTGGAATTATACATTTCATATTTTTGGACCACAGATAAGGTGAGACAAAGTTCACCATCTAGCCTTATTTTCTAAATATTAGGTGACAAGACAAAGAAGTATATAGATTTAGCAGGAAGCTAGGAAGGAAGGCTAGCTTTTCTTGCTTTGGCCAGTGAGATGTGATGTTCAACATCTATTGCCAAAAATGGGGAATTTAAAATTCTGATAACTGGCCAGGTCAGTGGCTCACACGTGTAATCCCAGCACTTTGAGAGGCCAAGGCAGGAGGATCACTTGAGACTAGGAGTTTGAGATCAGCCTGGGCAACATGGTGAGACCCTGTCTACAGAAAATTTAAAAATTAGCCTGGCAAGGCCAGGCGCGGTGGCTCAAGCCTATAATCCCAGCACTTTGGGAGGCCGAGGCGGGTGGATCACGAGGTCAAGAGATCAAGACCATCCTGGTCAACATGGTGAAACCCCGTCTCTACTAAAACTACAAAAAATTAGCTGGGCATGGTGGCGCGTGCCTATAGTCCCAACTACTCAGGAGGCTGAGGCAGGAGAATTGCCTGAACCCAGGAGGCGGAGGTTGCGGTGAGCCGAGATCGCGCCACTGCACTCCAGCCTAGGTAACAAGAGCGAAACTCCGTCCCAAAAAAAAAAAAATAATAATTAGCCTGGCTTAGTAGCCCATGCTTCTGGTCTCAGCTACTTAAGAGGCTGAAGTGGGAGGATCACTTGAGCCCAGGAGGTCAAGGCTGTAGTTTAGCTGTGATTGAGCTGCTGCATTCCAGCCTGGGTAATAGAGCAAGACCCTGTCTCAAAAAAAATTCATTAAAATGAAAATAAAATTCTGATAACTATGTAAGCATGTTTCCATTCCTGGTTTATGCTGGGCATGGTGATGTGCGCCTGTAGTCCCAGCTACTGAAGAGGCTGAGGCAAGAGAACCATTTGAGCCTAGGAGTTTGAGGCTTCATTGTGCCCTGATTGTGCCTGTGAATAGCCGGGGCACTGCAGCCTGGTCAGCATAGCTAGTCCCAGTCAAAAAAATGGAGAGGAGTTTCTATTCTTAACTTATAAGAAGAGTATGAATCTTTAGACCCCTTCAGTTGCCCCTGTCATTTTTAGGGCATTGCGCTTTTTTTTTTTTTTTTTTTTTTTTTTTTTTTTTTTTTCTTAGGAGGGAAAATGAAGGGCATTGTTCTCATTGGATTTTGTTGTTGCTTTGAGACAGGTCTCACTCTGTCACCCAGGCCGGAGTGCAGTAGCTTAGAGCTTACTGCGGCCTCAACCTCCCTAGGCTCAGTTTATCCTCCCACCTCAGCCTCCCAAGTAGCTGGAACCACAGGTGTGCACTACCACACTTGGCTAATTTTTGTAGTTTTTGTAGCGATAGGATTTCGCCATGTTGCCCAGGCAGGTCTTGAACTCCTGGGCTCAAGCATTCCACCCATCTGGGCCTCCCAAAGGGAGCCTGGGCCTAAGATTACAGGTGGGAGCCACCATGCCCAGCCATTCTCTTTTAAATCTGTTCCTTGCTACCTTATCATACTGGTTGCTGATAATTGGCTGCCAGATTCCAAGACACTTTTCCTACCAATAATGTTCCCTTCTATTCTGTCTCAGCTGCAGTAATCACATGTGAGTTCTTTTATTAATATTTAGCAGGTACTTGAACCCTTTGTGTGCCTGCTACTGTTTTGGGCACTGGGATTTTGTGCCAAAGTCCTTGCCTCATAACGTTTACATTTGCATGGAGAACACGATAAATCATAGTGTATTTGTAAATAAAACAAGCATGATACAGGGAGAAAAGAACAAGTTACAACTACTTTTACTCTAGCTGCCTATAAGCATAGCTCCACTTTGAATCTTTTTAGAATGCCTCCATTTCTAATAAACACCTCAAA